GGCCTACAGGTTTAGTCAATTTCTTAGTATTCGGGACGACGCTGGTTCGATTCCGGGTCCGTCTGCCTTGGTCCAACTTTTTCTGTGGTTTCCTTGGATCACTTAGGCAAATGCTGAGGCAGTAATATTCCAAAGATAATCTTTCATTCTCTTCTGTCTTCATTTCGTCCATCTTATCTTTCTCACCCGAACCACCACCCACCCATTCCCACGATTCCTGAAAGCAGGCTGATGAGGGCCTTCCGCCTTACCTTCCGACGTAGTCCGGAGGGACTGCCTGCCCACCAGCATTAGTGGCTCGTGGGAATGAAATAACCAAATGTTTTTTTTTTTAGTTTTTGTAAAGAAGTTAGTAGTGGCTGTGTTCGTTACTGAGATTTTCCATTCAAAGTGATGTGCTCGCGCATGCTCAAAATTAATAAATATTATTATTTATGCTACAACAAATAATGTATTAATTTTTATAAACCGAAAAAACAAATTTCTTGTAATTAACTTCAAAATGGTTTTTATTTGGTGCTGAAATGATGACTGTTGATACAGAAGGATACATTTGAAGCCTAACAGTTTAGAAAGACTTCCTTCATTGTTTCATTTAAATGGACATGACATTTTAAAGTTAAGCATTTTAACAACTTCGTCAATTTTGAATTTTTCTTTCAGGCACATTACTATACAGTGCTATTACGAATAGTTGCAGTATATGTAGAAGAAGCAGTTTTGTGCTGTTCGACTTCACTTTTATAACTACAGCTTATTGTAATTACAATGTTTAAACCTATTGAAGTATAGGGATCACAAATAAGGAATAAATAGTTTTTCAACAAAGAACAACTTAAGATTTGTTTAATTTGAAGCAATTAGAAAAGAGTGAAATGTTCTTTACTGATTATACAATCGTATCGCCTTTTGATCAAGGTAGAAACGTCAGTGAAGATTACATAATCTTATAACGAATCTTTTACCTCTTTCTGATTGCTTCTAGTTGAAAAAATCTTAATATATCATTGAGGAAGATAGTACAAAGAAAGGGAAACTTAAGTCGCTTGAAACGAATATTGAATTTTTAAATTTTCTATCTATCTGCATTTATTTATTTACTCTAAACCATTCGTTTAAAATCCTTTTGTTCTTTGGGTTCTTTTCTAATTGTTCCCTATACTAATTGTTCCCTATGAACTCCTACAAATTTGATTGCAAATCCTACTACGTTTACTTTTAACCATTCAATATTCTTCCCATTTAACTTTTTCGTGCCGATCGTCCCGCACTCTTTTTTTAATGACAGTAGAATGCCGATAAACAATAAAACACAATGCTAAATAAATTTTCAGTTACAGATTATTAATCAGTAAATCTCCAAACTTACAACTTCTTACTGATGACCTTTCAGAAAGTTAGGCTGTATACGCACCTTTCTAAATTATAGTTGCTTTCTTTAGGTTTAGGGATCTGACTGTGGCACTAAGAATTTGGAGCCCGACTTAAAGAAAATAAGCTCATAAGTACACAAACAGATTAAGATATCTACTATAAAAGAAGAGGGAGTGTAGGAATCGTCTTGACATAGAAAAACTAACGTGTAACGAAACGCGTGATGGGCCAGGTACAAGGACAGAAGAAATACTAGAGGAGGTGGGAGAACTGCATTAAAACGTGCCTAAAATCAGCAGCTACAGATATACTAGGTCTTAAACAAAACGAAAGTAGGAAACCGTGGATAACAAACGAACTTGTAGGACTAATAGAAGAAAGTAAAGAAACACAAAAACAGGACAGATGGAGAAGGACAAAAAGATATAAGGCTATAAAGTGGGAAATAATTAGGAAGTGTAGGGCAACTAAGGAACAGTGGATTGATATGAGGTGTAAAGAAGTAGAAAAAAAGCTTTGAAGTAGGTAAAACCGATGAGGCGTATAATATGATTAAAAGGAATTTTAGAGATGTAGGGTACAGTAGTAATAATATAAGAAACGAGGCAAGGGTAATTTTGATAGAAAATGAGGAAAATGCAGAAAGGTCGAAAGAATATTTAGAGAACTTATACGCAAGCCTTAAGTTAGGAGATATATTAGAGAAGGAAGATAGTATGGAGATAGGTGAGCTAGGTTATCCCAAAATGAAAGAAGAATTCGATGTACTATTAAAAAACTTAAAGAATAATAAGGCGTCAGGTATAGATGGGATACAACAATTAGCTTAACTTCCCATGCATCAATAATCTTAACTAAAATTGTATAGAGGAGGACGAAAAAAAGGACGGAATAACTTTTAGGGAAAGATCAATTTAGGTTTAGAAGAAATAGAGGAACGCGGGAGGTCATCCTAGCTTGACGGGTAACAATAGAGAAAACGAAAAAGAAAAGAGTGCGTATATAGGATTTGTAGATTTAGAAAAGACTTTTGACAATGTTAAATGGGACAAGATGTTAAATATACTTAAAAACGTAGGGATGAGTTACAGAGATACTCAGTTTGTATAAAGAGTAACAGGCAGTTATAAATAAATAAAAGTAAAATAAAGATAATGGTATACAAAGGAAGAGAAAGTAGGGAAAGGGCGAATATAAAGATAGGAGATGAAAAATTAGAAGTTAAGAAGTTAATGTTTAGTATCTAGATCTAGTCAGATAAGTCAGGACGGAAGGAGTAGTAGGGATATAAAGCACAGAATAGCGCAGAGTCGAGTCGTCTTCAATAAAAATAAGTCACTTCCATGTTTGAGAACCGTTAATTTAGAAATTCGAAAAAGGTTGCTAAAGGTGTGTTTCGAGCGCGGCGCTGTACGGGGGCGAAACATGAACGGTGGGCGCGTCGGAAAAGAAAAGGTTAGAAGCGTTCGAAATGTGGTGTTAAATGCGAATGATGAGGATATCGTGGATAGAGAGATATTAGAAAGAATAGGAGAACAGAGGACTCTATGAAAGTCAATAAAAAATAGGAGAGATAGGTTTGTAGGTCTAGAAAAAGACATATGACAGAAATTGGAGTTAGGAGGGGTGGAGGTAGACCTAGATTAGATTACTGTTCGCAAATAGTTAAGGATGTCGGTTGTTCTAGTCTTATGGAAATGCAAAGATAAGCGCAGGATAGGAAAGAGTGGAGGTGCGTGTCCAACCAGTCTTAAGACTGACGACCTAATAATGATAATGATTACTTATATTCAATTCGTAAAAATGAGAAGTGGTTCACCGTTTACAAACTATTAATGTTACGAATTCAGATGACGAATGACGAATTCAGATCAGACACACATGTTTATAGTTGCAAAAAAGAAACCAACATAGTCTAACCCAACCCGAACCTAACCTACTCCAAAAGGTTTTTGTTAATTTTTAGACTGGTTAAGTTTTGTACGTCAAGTTCTAGGTTCGCACACCTGATTTAGCTCTTGATTACGACATTTATCGTATTTGAATTGAAAGATATAAATTTTCCAAAAAGATGTTTTGGTAAACATTTGCTTAGAAGTTCATTAGTAAATAATATTTTTTTTATATACATTCATTTAGTTGTTAGATTTAAGTGTTCAAAGAAAGCTAACTAAAAGTTATTGGATACTGTTCCGTCAGGAACACAAGTCGATATGTAGATGCGCGCATTTACTTTCGGATGCGCGAGTGTGTATGTATTGTATTTCCTTTGACGAGGAGTGGAGATATAAGTGCGAAGTATTTTAACGGCACTTGCTTTGTATCTGAGTCAATAACTTTTTCTGACCTGGTATGTTTTGACCCACATAAGAGGGAATTGTTAAATTCACTACTCGTTTCGGGCATAAATAATATTATATTATACCTACTCATGAATAATGATGAGTAATTAACGAGTATTCTATTACATACGTATAGGCATCTACGTACGTTTGCATTAAGAAGCTTACCTTCTTTTTTAAATATTTATGCAAACATAATTCTGCTACGTACGTAGTAGCCCTGTCGAATTTTCGTTTATGGTTAAATGATATATTACCATAAATTTTATATTTCTAATCAATAGTTAAAACCTTTTTATTGAAAGCCGTAAAAAAAGCTCTTACGGAATTTAAATAATATTCATTTTAAAAAGAAACTTCTATAACACGTAACCTTTATGAAGACTATTATATTTCACCTGTTGTAATAAATTTTCACTTTTTCGATACTTTGAAAAATCAGCTTTCCTTTGATTATAATCATTTTTGTGTTTTGGGGATTTCTTGTAACCAAAAAAAAAAAATAAAAGTAGGTGGCAAGGACGGCACTAACCATTGGATCAGGTGAGGGAGGCAGATAATAAATAGAGAACATGAATTGAAGATAAAATAAACACACTTTGTAAAGAAATCCATATTAAAACGATTTGTGGGGGTTCTTGTGATTTGATGACTTATTCTGAACGTCAGTGGTCGACTCCGAACTACAAGAGTTGATTGTCAAAGAAATCAAAAATTGAGATGCATGAAATGTAAATGAGATAGTACGCACAGATAGTTCGTAGGTAGGTACCTTTAAATAGGCATAAAATGATAAATTGACAAAGTTGTGTTTTAGAAGTAAAAAATTTTAAAACAAATGTTTATGAAACATGACGATTTCGGGATAGATTTGTGAAATTGTATGATTTAATTCTGGGAAAATTCACTGTGCCAGTTTGAGGACGATCTGTAGTGGCGCAAATGATTCACTCTGCATCAGACTGCCGACCCCGTAATCCAATATTTGAGTGATATAAAAATGTGTTTATGCGAAATCATTCATAATTTCGGCACTTTTTTAACCAATTTTCAAATTTGGACGAGCGTAATGTTGCTCTTTACAGTAGTTCTATAAGAGGCAGATCTAATAAGGCTTTACAAGAGATCTGGTCTGTATCAGGCTCCAGACTCATGACCCATGACGGCCTACAAGTGGAT